TATATATATATATATGTTTGAACGATTTATATAAATATCACTTTATCTATATATCAAAAGGTGTATATCAGTTTTTAAATGTATGAATTACAGTTAGATTTGTCCCTTCCAAAAGGTGAGGACTTGAATTAAAAAATTTATTTCGCACGTATATACGAAGGAATTTTCGCAGTAAAATTTATTGTATAATAATTTAATTTGTTTGATAAAAATTTCAAACTTGTAGAATTTCGTGATTGTATAGCATCCGACTTAAAATATTTCACAAAATTTCTTAGTTTATCTAACGGTTTGTTTTTATTAACGTGTGAAATTGTTCGAAGCTCAACATTCACATTGATTTTTATTAAGGACGAAGAAAATGGGAGACTTCCTGCCTTATATTTTTACAGGTGGTCTTCTCCAATGTGATTAAATAATACAAGGTTCTTGACTAAACCAATAAAAATCGAAACACACGCGCACACGCAGGAAAAAGATTTGTCCCCTCATTCATAAATGGTCTCTATTTGTAATCATTAGGGACCCTTGATAAAATTATATTTTTACCGTTATTTTAATGGGCCTTTATATGTCATTATTTTCCTTTATTTTATTAGAGGCGGTACAGGACAGTTTTTATCCTCTGACGTTTTTATGTAATTATTATTCATATCGGTGTCTTTCCTAATCTATAAGTGATACCGACGTCTTTTTTCATACTCATAATTGACATTAAATTTTTTCTTCATTAATTAATGATATCAACAACTTTTTACCGACATGATTCTTCGGATTCATATGCCTTTGAAGAAGTTGACTTAATTGATTCGAGTTGGCTTATTACTTGAGTATCGGTCGGCATTATTCTGGAAAACAGATCTCATTCAAGTGGTAATCGACTGACTCTAAGTCAATCGGCTAAATTGTTTTGTCCGGGCTGTTCTTCGATAACTGGGCAAAAATTCAGCTGATCAGTCTTCCTTCGGTCGGCTAATGATCTTCAGCAGATCAATTTATTAAGCACTTGAAGTATTCTGTCAGGTCATTGAATTTCACATATTCCATTCTAGGCTGTTTGTTCTCCTCAAGATTTGTGCTGAGAATTTTTCTCTATACATGTTAGTTTCCCAATTCTTTTGTTCCTTTAAGGTTTTGTTGTGATAAGGACAAATGAATCTTTGTGACAAAAAAATTCATTTATACTCTTAAACATTTAATAATTTAATAATTACTTGCATTTCTATGCTCGTGTTTCCTTTAAATGGGACTAGTGGGGCTATTTTCTTTACTCCCTTTTTCGTGAACTACAAATGACACCATGTATGATGCCGAAGCTCAATGTTACTTTCATAAGAATGTCTCCACCAGATCCTACGAGCGAGAGGTTATAGAAGAAATTAGTTGTGAAAAGGAAGAGAGAGGACCTTGATCTTGATCCACACGACTAAGTGCCATCGTTGGGGGTTGCTGTCGATCATCAACAAAAGAAGATCCCAAGGGATGATATATAGCTTGTCTCGATGGTTGATGAATAGGCCCAACCGATCAACAATGCAAATCCTGGGGGTTTAGGTGCTTTGAAATGGTTGGTGACCGCAATAGTGAGGTGCTGGAATCACGACCAAAGTCATAAGCGGAAGGTGTTATTTCTGTTAGAATGGGAGTGGAACGTGCCCCTATAACCTCTGCTCCATCAGACATCGAAGCTGCTCTTTCTTCGGTTAAGGATTATATAGCGAAAATCCTGAGCCGACCGATGATAGTCACAAGTCAATTAATGTTGATGGTTGACAGGAGACAAATTTTTTGGGTGCTTTACGAGAGACAAATGGAGGACAATCAGTGTCTTCAGTGTCTCCCGGACGAAAGATGGATAAGGTGGTCGACTGCTTTGCATAGATGGTCGGTGACTCTGACAGCGGAACTATGTGCGAGGTTGTAGCCCGTGTTGAGCAAATGAAGAAGAAATTGCACAGCTGAATGTTGAGTCAGTAGCTCTTCAAGTCGAGTTATTGGTCCCTTGAGAGTCAGCCGCCCTGAATCAAATCTAAAATGAGATCGACCGGGTCAATAAATTTAAGTTAGGGGGATAACTCAGGGAAGAACGTATATTTAAGAGGTTGCTTCAGCGAGGATATGTCTTAGCTGAAGCTGTAGAAGACTTTTTTATAAAGTATATTATTTCTGACTAATTCATTGTAACTTTACTTTTTTGGAAATAAAATTTTTATCTTGTGTCAAATTAGATTTTATGGTCTTTAGGGTGCCTCTTGATGCACTTTTCATTGTACTATGGTATGGGGGAGCTTCGAATTAAGCCCATAAACCCTATGAATAAGTTTAATAATGGAATTCATGTCACTCTGCTACCTTCTCTTAGGGTTTTCTCAGATCCATTCTCTTAGTTCCCTATATTGCCTCTGAAAGTTTCTCCCAAACTCTTTGGAATGATTCTGGCGAGTGAATCATATTCTTTAAACACCAAGAACGTAATTAGGCTTGAAGTCGATTATGTTTTTGATTTCACTGTGAGATTTCATGTAGTCAAGAGTTAGGACAGGGCGACATATTACTTTAAAAAGGACTTGAGTTTTATCGGGACCAGTTCCACTAAGGGGCTTCACTTACACCTTTGCAAGGAGTTGCTGGCTATTTTCAACCGATACAATGTCATCCCCGCTCATGTCCTACCAAATTCAATAGTAACTATTATGACATATGTCATGTTTTTCACAAAGTGGAAATCCCTTGATTGATCATATTTTTAGCTACATGTTTGCATTAGGTGTCAGTTAGAATGGTACCACCCAGTTTTTGCCCAGCAACCGATTCCAACTATTGGGCTCGAGAACAAAATAAGGGATTGGAAAATGAAGTTTTTGATCGGGTCTTGCTTTGGCAATTTGGGATTCAGAGTGGTCTTCTTAACTGTGACGGAGGGAAAGGATATGATCTTGCCAAGGCATTTGATTGTTAATGCTGCCAAGAATGAAGGCATGTAGCTTTCAGTCTCTCAGAATATTGACTCAAGGATCATCGATTGGGTTCTCCTAGTTGAAAATTTTGGTCATATGACTAAGGATCTATGGGGATGTCCAACGACAACGATGTTGAGAGGGAAAAACTTATCGAGGCACATGCAACTAGAAGGAAACCTCAACCCAAGTTTACCATGTATAAGGCTAGGTTGATCAGTGACCAATATGTCAGAGGAATCATGGAAGCTGGTGTAGACATCACAAGTGCAATTCTTATTGTTTTTGCTCCTAAGACCTTCATCGTAATTCAATGCATTTTGACCCGAGAGGTTGCTATCATTGCTAGGACAGTTGATTTCTTGGATGCAGAGGTTTCAACTGGTAGTCCTTCTAGGTTGTTGAGTGTGCTTAGAGAAGCACTTTCAGACCTGAGGAAAGAACCAAACATTGTGGCATAGTCAGTCAGTCCCACCTTTCTAGACTTTCAATTCGGAGCCATGGCTAGATGCCCTTCTTCGAAAATTTTGTCCAGGTTCGAATAGAACTTGGGTTCTGCTTTGCAAGGAGATTTTGATAAACAAGAGTTAGAGCCGACTTCTCAGGGATGGAGTCTGCTCCGAGGTCAACATCATTGTCACCTCCTTCGGAGCCAGCACTCCGATTCAAGCCGCCATCCCAAACACCATTTGGGAAGGAAAGGACCCATGGAGAGTCTTAGCATACCACCCCCCTCCCCCCTCTCAGAAGGAGTAAGTCTCTCTCAATGCTTAGATTCTCACCGGTAAAGGGAGCAGGAATGGAGGAATGTTAGGATGAGTCCAGACCACATATAAAAAAGGATTTGTTCTTGGAGTCTTTTGAGGTGGAGCATATTCCTGCACTGCTCTTTAAAGTGATGTGTTATGTTGAGTTTGCAAAGACCTCGAAGCAACTTGATTGTCGTCAACTCAAGCAACATTCCACTCGCTATCATTTAATGGCGATAAAGGTTGCTCAAATTTATTTTGTTGCTCTTGCTCGATCTGAGCATGCTTGTATTAAGACTGAGGGGAAAGTTGAGACGTTGAGCGGTCAACTTAAGGAGGCAAGGGTAAGGCTACAGGAGGTCGGTGATCAATTGAATGTTTCACTCGCCATGAGAAATAAGAATGCCCTGGAATATGAAAAATATTTGGTGAGCTTGGACAGGGATAACCAGAAATTAAAGGAGAGCTTGGAGAATTTCATATTAAAGGATGAGCAGAAAAGTAGCCTCGCTCAATAGCTTTGGATTGGCATTTTCTCGAAGGTAGATGCATTCGTCAAGCTTGGGTTTGTTGAATCTAAATGGTCTAATCTATGAGACCTTTTTTTCTGTTCGTTGAAGAAGGAGATGGAGATTCAGTGGGGATGGATTATCACATGTTGACTTTCTTCTATTTTCTTATATAAATTAAAGTTAGAAAATTGAATATTTTGTAAATGCGATTTCATGAAAGAACATATACATGTTTTGTATGGCTTGTACCTTTGTGATGTTTTATTCTACCATTATTTGCTTGTGATGTTATCAACTCACCGTAGTTTCTCTATTCTTGTTTTGTACCATACAATCCAGATCTTGTGTTTCAACTTTACACCTAATAGGCTTTTTGCCTCCCTTAAGAAGAGTTTTTGATACAATTTGCCCAATACCCTTTGCGAAGCTTCTTGTTGGTATGACGTTCCTGGCCTTACGTGAGTAAATTGTGTGGATGTTGAAAGTCTGTTTTCTTTCCCGACGCTAATCAAATTTATTGTGTCATTGTCCATCATCTAGGAAAGTTTTTATTGATCGATGGTTTAACTCTTCATCTATTTTGCTTTATATTAAATGGCTTGTGTCTCACTCACATAATCCTAGTCTCTTGATTGGATGCTGTTGTTGGTTTGA